TATATTATCTTTAATATTGCATAGCAGTCTTGCCAGTGATATAAGAACAACTTCAAAGGTAAATGGTAAAGCAAGGAATTCAGACTTGAGTTTCTTTGACTTTGACCGGGAGATTCAAATCATCGACTTAGGAGAAATTGCTCATGGAAAAACCATACACAAGATCTGTAGCAATAACTTACATTTTATTTATATTACTTTTGATTCTGAAGTTAAATGAAAATTTGGAATGTATATATTTTTATGCATTTGTGAGCTTATTGTTTACCCCAAAAACCGGATAGAACATATTTAATTAAAATCAGCATAATTCCAATCATGGTCATTTAAAATTTTATGAACTTTCTTGTTTGATGAAACAAATGGATGCTCTTCATACCACATGTAATTTAGGTTATTTTTTAAATTATTTTTTTAGTTATGGATGGACACAATACCTTTATTTTGTTTATTTTTATTTGGAGCTGGGAGCGAAGCCAGTGTCTCCCACTTGGCTAGCACTCTACTGCTGAGCCATAGCTTTAGCACCCCTGTAATCCAGTTTTATTGGTCTGTTAGTTCAGGTTTTTTTTTTGTTTGTTTGTTTGTTTGCAGAATCCCACAGAATAATTTCCTCAAGTGGAAATAAAATAAGTCTATTGGAAAGAAATCTTCCCTCAAAGTGACTTGTTCATTCATTCTGACATGTATTTATTAAGTTCTTACTCTGTTCTCAGCGCAAGTTTAGTAGGACTCATTGCCTTCCTATAGAAAAATAACATGTATCCCCTGGGGTTCCTATTTGCCAAAGCTGGGGCAATATTTGCACAAAATAATTACAGAATTGAATTACTGTAGTAATTCTTGAATTCAAGAGTTCATATCAGTGGTAGCTAAGGAAGATGTGAAAGCTATTGTATATAGTATAATACCTATTGCGAATTAGTAAATGTGCAGAGGATGCTGGAGTTGTAAAAATTTATCATTTTGATTTGCACATTATAGTAAAGAATGGATAAGGCAATCTTGCCTTATTAATTATTAATGGAGAATAAATACAGGGGAAAGTTTTGATTAGAGTATGAGGTACCTGTGTGAGGTAACCAGCACCCCAGCAGAACAGATTCCTGCTAGGAGGTGTGAGCCTCCTGGGGGCGGGGCAGTCAGAAATAATCAGTAAGAAATGAAGACAAAGCCGGAGATTAGATTTAAAAGGGGAGCACCTGATGGGTGTCACAGCCCTGATAGGAACTGGAACTGGACTACTGAAAAAGCCCCAATTCTTATTTAAGGGCAAGTACATCAAAGGCAGGGATAAGGTTTCAGGGTGGGAGGGATCTTGTTTCTTGGTGTATCTGGGATCTTGCAATAAACAGGTTGTTTGGTGCTCCATAGGTTACGCCCATATCCTGAGGGTTGTGTTTGATCCTAAGGCTGTGACCTGAGGCAGGGCACCAACTTGATCTGGGGTTTCAAACTGGGGAATTTCACCCAGGATTTCCCAGAAAAGCAGCTTCCCTGCTTTGTGTTTGCTCAAAACAAACTCATAATTCATATATGGGTTCCAACAGAGCATGATATTTGCATGATTTAAAAATATCTTCCCACAGATTATTGCATATAAATAATTTAGTAATAATTTTGGACAGTACTGGACCAAATAATCCAGTTGAGTGGGTGACTAAAAAACATTATTAGTAAGAAGCAGATAAACATAGTATGCCTCTATATGTGGTATCCTAAGAAAGACACGTGATTACTTTTGTGATATTCTGTCTAAACATAATCTGAAATCATTTGTGAGGAAACACCAAGCAAATCCTAAAGATTTGTATTCCAATTCTAATTTTTTAAAAAAGGGATGAGGATAGCAGCAGTGTACAAAAAGAGATTGTAGTAGTATTTCAGATTAAAGGAGGCTAAAGAGACACTAAGTGCGATACCTGACCCTGGAAAGAAAGCTGTCCTGGAAGGAGGGTAATATTACAGAGGATGTTCTTAAGTGATTTGACAAAACTGGAATGTGGAGGTAGATTAAAGTATTTTATCAGTGTTAATTTTTTTGCTATTCTGTGGTGTTATATAAAACCCTATTCTTTTTTAATATTTATTTTTTAGTTTTAAGTAGACACGATATCTTTATTTTCCATTTGTGTGGTGCTGAGGATCCAACTCAGTGCCTCAAGCATGCTAGGCGAATGCTCTACCACTAAGCCACAACCCCAGCCCCTAAAACCCTATTCTTAGTAAATATTCATTATAGTATGAAGAGATTGACATATGTGAATTTTTTTTAAACATTTGGAAAAATATTAAGTGTAAATATGTGTTTATATTAATTCATGTATATATGAGGAGAAAGTATGCAAATGATGAAGATTTAGGATAAAATGTTAACAATGAATTTAGGTAAACTGTATTTGCTATTCTTTATATTATTCTTATTGTTGCTGCTTTTGTAGGAGCTTGGACATATGTCCAAATAAAAAGTTAAAAAGAGAAATGATTGTGTCCTATACATGGTGAGAGAGCAAAAAAGAAGCATAACCTACCTAACCAGGGGAAACAGCTTATAAAAACTGAGATGCAAACAAATGTTTTGCAGCCTTCTCAGAAACTAATTGATATATGTTTTAATCTGCCAGGTGCTAAGTGCTTGGCTCAAATATCAAATAAAAGTGGGGCCATCAAGTATGCTATGTTTTAAAAATGCTATAAGACTAAAGTTCCTTTTTAGTTCTATTAACCAATTGAAAACATGCAGTGCAAACAACAGGCTTTAATTTTTGTGTTCTAACATAATAGTTCTCACCTTTTCCTTATGTTAGCTTATTAAATTTTTTATGACAAATATGGAAGTTATTTATGTTCTTATGTTACACCTAATACAGGGATTTGAGAATTCATCTTTGATAATCAAATTACAAAAGTACATTTTCATTATGTTAATCAGGTGAGAATGTTTATTGTTTGTAGCACAGATTGTTTGGATAGGATATAACAGTCTAATCATTAATACCACAATTTATAATAAAAACACAGAATGGAGATAATCTCATGGACAAATCTAACTGAAAGTTAAATCAGATTTCATCTTTTTAAGTTAATTTTCTGCCATACAACTGAAATTTTTGACACTCCAGTAAATTTTGTATTTTTAGAAAGACATACAAAGTCTTTGATAAAGATCTTAAAAAGAAGAGCTAATAATGTTCTAAGATGTCATGTTTGAAATTAAATATAGGAGGTATGATCATTTTTATGCCTTTCACACATTGGAAATAGGCTTAGATTTGGAAAGTAGTGCAGTAGAAAATAATGTCTGAGGTGATTTCTAGTGAATCTAGACGTTAGATCTGGATCTTAGGATTCTTTATTCTGCTATCAGTGAGTTCTGCTGTACCTATTCTATTTGGTTTATTCTGTGGTCAATTAGTTTTTCTTCCTTGTTTTGAATTATAAAGAAAGTAATTTCAATACTTTAATTATGGTCATTAAGAAGAAGGTATCTTAAACTAGTATATATCTTGTTTAGATGTAGAGAATTTCTTAGTAGCTATACTTCAGGTATTTTCACTTTCATTGGCTTTACCTAATAATGCTATGTGTTTTTTTCAGGGAAGGAAATAAAATGCCTGTAATTTTTTAAAAATTTCACCAATTCATTATTGAATGTATCATAACAATAGCATTTATTCTCTAATCTCTATACCATCATGCCCATCTAATAGATTCATTTTGCATTGAATTTAAATGAATTTTCTTAGTAAAAGCACACGGAGGGGGCTGGGGCTGGGGCTGGGGCTCAGTAGTAGCGCACTTGCCTGGCATGTGTGAGGCACTGGGTTCGATTCTCAGCATCCCCCAAAAAATAAATAAATAAAGGCCTATCAGCAACTAAAAGAAAAAAGCACATGGAGGGTTGGGGTTGTGGCTCAGTGGTAGAGTGCTTACCTCGCATGTGTGGGAAACTGGGTTCGATCCTCAGCTTCACATAAATAAAATAAAGGTATTGGGTCCAGGTACAACTAAAAATTTTAAAAAAGCACATGGAATTTGTATTGGCCTTTCCAAAGTGTGTAGAAAACATCCATCAAAACTATTAGAATTTGTCAGCAGGGTCCTTGGTAGTACACACTGTAATCCCAGCTAGTCACAAGGCTAAGGTAGGAGGATCACAAGTTCACAAGTTCAAGGTGAGTCTAGGCAATGTGATGAGACCCTGTCTCAATTTAAAAAGGGCCTGAGAAAGTAGCTTGGTGGTAGAATGCTTGCCTTGCTTGCCAATACCCTGGGTTAGAGCCCTAGTACTGTCAAAAAAAAAAAAAAAAGCTACTGGAAATGTTATTAAAAACAAACCCAGCTCATATTGGATCCATGTCCTTAACGTGAAAGAAGCTAATAATCTGGACCCACTGTGTTCAGATAAAAATCACAGAAAGTGGCAGAGTAACCTGTTTTTTCTGGAATTTCAGTTGTATTATAATAGGCCACTTAGACTTACCTGTTAATTTAGTAGTATTGTGAACTGATTCTTTTGTAAATTGGAAAATTTAAGGGCTAGTTCGTTTTTCAGTCTCCAGTTAGTGGAAACAACCTGGCTACATGATGCATAATTTTTTTTTTTTTTTAACTGAGGATTGAACCCAGGGCCTCACTCATGTTAGGCAAACACTCTACCCCTGAGCTTTGTTCAAACCCTTTTTATTTTATTTTCAGATAGAATCTGGATAAATTGTCCAGGCTCACCTTGAACTTAAATAGTCCTTTTGTCTCAGTCTCCTGACTAGGTAGGATTATAGGTGTGCACCTCCATTCCCAGCATTATGTATAATTTAAAAGAAGAAATCCTTTAGCAGTATTTAAATTACTGATTTTTTTCAAGATTATGCTGGTTCTAAAAGATGTTCAATATACAAATGAAAGAAAAATATTAAATTTGTTTTATAGTTGCTTTTGTAATTGTGTCTTCTCTACTTGTCCATGTTAACAATTTTTTATTAACTTCTTTTTAATAATAGACGAATCCTTAGTTCTGTGGAAAAGAGCAGACAGAAATATAAGCCAGCTTCTCTCACAGTGGAGTTTATTCCTTTCTTTTATCGTAAGTAGCATTCTTAATTCCTTTTATTTTTATCTTACTCATAATTTTATCTTACTCTTTATTCTTACTCTTAATTCAGACCTTAATTCAGCTTTATGAATTTATAAGATGGAGTTGTTTGAGAACATGTCACTGGAGTAGTTGATTTGTTTGGCTGAGATTATTGTTTTTCATTTTAATTATTCTGTTCTTCTTTTGAGAAGAACTGATTTTTATTCTTTCTTGATGATTTGAATATTTTAATAATTATATTTTTGAACTTCAAGATATTTATTTATTTATAATTATTTTTTGCATGGTACTGGGGATGTAACCCAGGGCCTTGTACGTATGAGGCAATTGCTCTACCACTTAGCTACATCCCCCAATCCACCCCTCCCCCCAATTTTTTAAAAAAAAATTGAGACAGAATCTTACAAAGTTGCCCAAACCAACGGTGATTATGCCACCTCTCAAGAATACAGAAAAATTCGCATAACAGGAAAAAACCACTCTGTTTCTAGGTCCCTCCTCAAATTTGTCAGAATTTAACATTTTGCCATATTTGCTTTAGTTTTCCTTTTTTTTTTTTTTCCTTCTGTGAAGTAAGACAGAAATAGTTCATTTTTTGCTTAATGAAGATGATTGCAGTGCTACTCTGTGTGACCACCAGTAGTGACATTGGTGTTAGCTAGGTAATGAAACTCAAGTATTCATAATGAGCCACACCCAGAATTGGCCTCCTTTAGAAGATACAGGACCAGAAAGGCAGCATGCCAGTGAAATAGTATAAGGTGTTTTTATTCAGCAGCAGTCCAAGGGCCATTCTTTGGTCTTTCAAGTGAAATTATGGTGCCAAATTGATGGCTCTGGGAGCCACCCTGCTTTATAGGAAGCACAGTATCCTATAACAGCCTTTATATCCTGCATGTATAGGTTGTGCACATATTTTGTTAATTTATCCCAAGGTATTTTATGTACTTTGGGTTTGTAAATAATTTTTAATGTATTTTCCAATTGTTTGTTAAAAAATATAAATATATATGTATATATATACACATACATACATATATATATATGGTTTATTTTTGTCTAATTATATTGTGCCCTGTGACTTTGCTAAATAAATTCACCAATAAATTTATAGTAATTCTTATGTTATTTCTTAGGGTTGTATATGTATACAGTCCTGTTATATGCAAAACAGTTTTTTTTTCCTTTCTAAACTATATGCCTTTTTATACTGGTGAAGTGGTAAAAGGAGACTTTTTTTCTTGTTCCTATAAGTACAGGGAAAAAAAATAATGATGTTAGCTGTTAAGTATATTAGTTATTAAGTAGGATGTTAGCTACTGAATTTTTAATTGATGCCTTTCATTAATTAGAGTAAATTTTATTTTGAATAGATGTTGACTTTTTCCACATATTTTCACTGCATCTGTTTGAGGTGATTTTTATATTTTTGAGTGTGTGTTGCCTTTCCCCCCCCCCCCCCCACTTCTGTCTGTTAGTTGTTGAGATTGATTTTTCAATGTTAAACTAACATTGCATTTATGTGCTAAACCACCTTTGGTCATGATTATACAGTAGTATTATCTTTTTTATGTAATACTTCATTTGACTTGCTAATGTTTTAAAGATTTTTGTTTCTACGTTCAAGCGACATGCAGATTTTTAGGGCTTTTTTCTTTGTTATATCTTGTGTAGTTTTTGTATCAAGTAATTGTCCTAGTCTGCTCTGGCTGCCATTCCAAAATATTATAGACTAAGTGACTTTAAATATCAGAAATTTATTTCCTCACAGTTCTGGAGACTGGAAAGTCAAAGGTCAACAGTCCAGCAAGATTTGATTTTTGGTGAGGTCTCTTTGTGGCTTGCAGATTATCTTCTGCTTGCTACCTTATATGTTGGAAAAAAACACTGATGTTTTTTCTTCTAACAAGGAACTGTTCTCTTAGATCAAGGCTTTACCTTTACAATCTCATTTAACCTTGGGCATATCCTCAAAGGTCCTAATCAACTGAGGATAGAAGTAGGGCTTCAGCTTATAAAGCTTGGTATGTGTGTAGGGGGCACAGTTTATATTATTCCACCTCTGATCCCCCAAACTTAGTGTTTATCATATGCAGAATACATTTATTCTACCCAATAGCCTAATGTCTTGGCCCTGAAGAGCATCTTTGCACTTTGACTGTCTATAAGGGCACCACCCACATGGCTGAGGGCAGCCCTGCCCCTAAGGTACTAGGTGGGGTCCTGCTGATCTACTAAAACCTGAGAAATGTAGGAGGAAGAAACACCATTGCCCTCTGGGTCTGAGAAGGGAGTGGCAGCTCTCATCTCTAAACTGCCTTTAGAGTTATTCTTCCTTTTCCTTGAAGAGCAGCATGTCACCACTGAATAGCTGTATAGTGTGGTCCTGTAGAATTCAAGAAGTCTTGTAGTATACCTTCATTCCTTCCCATTTTCTCTGTTTCCTTTATTTAAAAATGGTAATATCTTTGCTGGTATTCCTGGCCTCAGCTGAGATGGCTAAGGCAGTTCAGGAGTTATACCTGGACATATCAAATGATTGTTCAGTCACACTTTAGCATTTTTTTCAGTACAGGCTTTCTCAGTTTTTACAATGTGGATAGGCTGAGAATTTTTAAAATCTTTAAGTTCTTGTTCTTTTTTGCATTTTTTTTTTCCTATTTTACAGGAAAAAATCAAGCTGCTCCTCCAACTTTGCTTAGAAATCGCCTCATCTAACTATCCCATTTGTCACATGAAATTTTTAGCTTTTATGCAACTCTATGACACAGTCTGGTGTCAACACAGTGTAGTTCAGCCAAGTTCCTTGTCACTTTAAACAAATATTGCCTTTCTCTAGATTTCAATAATTTGTTGTTTATTTTCATCTGAGACCTCACCAGAATAATTGCCCTTGTGATTCATAGTTCTAGCACCCCAGAACTCTTTTAGCCTCTACCCATTACCCATAGCTGCTTCCACATTTTTAAGTATTTGTTACAGTAACACTTCCCTTCTTGGTAGCAAAATTTGTCTTACTGTGCTCAAGTTGATATAGCAAAGCGCCACAGATGGATGTCTTAAGCAGAAATTCTGGCCTTATTAAACGACTTGAGCAGTGTTTTCTTTCCCTCTCTTTTCTGTGAGAATTGGTTTGAAATTGTTATTATGGTTTCCTTAGTATTATTTGGCAAAGCCATTTCAGCCTAGAATTTACTTTGTGAGAAGGTTTTAAATTCTGGAGTCAATTTTTATACTAAATAGGGAATTATTCAGATTTCTTCTTCTGTTAGGTTTTGAAATTCATGTCTTTAAAAATTTGTGTTTTTCATTTGTGTTGTTGAATGAATTGGTATAATGTTTTTTATAACACTTTTTTATGATCTTTTCAAAGTCTAGGGAATCTGGTTTGTTGCCCCCTCTTTTGTTCCTGATATCGGAAATTTATATTCTCTCTCTCAGTTTTTCTAGATCAGTCTAGCTAGAGGTTTTAAAGTTATATTCATCTTTTCACTGAAGCAGGTTTTCATTTCATTGTGATTTTTGTTTGATGATTTATTTTCTGTAATTAGCCCTACTTCTGTTATTACTTCCCTTTTACTTAAAGTTTAACTTGCTCTTCTTTTTCTGACTTCTTCCAATAGAAAATTTGATCTTTGGGCTGGGGATGTGGCTCAAGCAGTAGCGCGCTCGCCTGGCATGCGTGCGGCCCAGGTTCAATCCTCAGCACCACATACAAACAAAGATGTTGTGTCTGCCAAAAACTAAAAAAAAAATAAATATTAAAATTCAAAAAAAAAAAAAAAGAAAATTTGATCTTTAATTAAACCTTTTAGTTAGACCTTCTTTTTGAATATGCACATCTTGAGGTATAAATTGTTTTGTGAAGCATTGCTTTAACTGTACCTCACAGAATTTGCTGTACTCAGTTTAATTTTCATTTAAAACACTTGCCAATTTTTTTATTGTTTTTTTTTTTAAACAATAGTTATTAAGAAATTGGTTGTTCGGCTGGGGCTGGGGCTCAGTGGTGGAGTGCTCACTTGGCATGCATGAGTCACTGGGTTTGATCTTCAGCACCTCAGAAAAATAAAATAAAGGTATTGTGTCCACCACCTAACTAAATGTGTATATATATTTACATATTTGTGTGTATGTGTATATATATATATATATATACACACACACATATATATATGTAAATAAAAGAAATTGGTTGTTGACATCATTAGCAGTTAGCAAAATGCAATTCAAAACTACACTGAGATTTCATCTTACACCAGTTAGAATGGCAGTCATCAAAAATACAGATAATAGCCAGGCATGGTGATGCAACTCAGGAGGCTGAGGCAGGAGGATCACAAGTGCAAGGTCAGTCTCAGCAACTTAGTGAGACCCTGTCTCAAAACAAAAAATAAAAAGGACTGGGGATGTGGCTAAATGGTTAAGCACCCCTGGGTTCAATCCCCAGTACCAAAACGATAATAACAACAACAATAATAATAATAAATGCTAGAGGATGTAGAGGAAAAGGAACACTTTTATACTGTTTGTGGGACTATAAAATAGTACAACCACTATGGAAATCAGTATGGAGGTCCCTCAAAACACTAGGCATGGAACAACTAAGACCCAGCAATACTGCTCCTTTGTATTTTTTTTTTTTTCTCCTTTGTATTTAACCTGAGGAATGAAAGTCACCATACTACAGTGATAAATGTATACCCATGTTTATAACAGCCAAACTATGGAACCGTTCAGTCTATGTGTCTATCAGCAGATGGATGAATAAAGAAAATGTAGTATATGTACACAAAGGAGTTTTATTCAGTCATAAAGAAAAATGAAATTATGTCATTTGCAGGAAAATAGATGGAATTAGAGATGATTATGTTAAGTGAAATAAGTCAAACTCAAAAGGTCAAGGATTGTATGTTTTTTTCTCATATGTGGAAGCTAGAAAGGAACAAGGAAAAGAGTTGGGGATGGATCTCATGAAAATCAAAGGG